ATGATGATGACGATGAAGAACTGGAGGAGGAGGAAAATGTGCCTGGGGCTAAGCAAATTCAGCAGAGCAACGGTTGCTCTTTCTATATCCCACCTCATCCGCCTGAGCGATCCACGACCAAAGATGTGGTGAGTTTTGACTTCACCGCTGGCCCAGTGAATGTTGACAAATCAAACGCATTTCAAGGCTATCCGATCCCTTTGACCCATTCCGCTTCCGGTAATCAGCTTCGTATTGGACGACCCACACAGGGGGCGGGGACTATCACTTCAATACCTCAACCGGCCCACCGAAGTACTGTGGATTTAAAGTCGTACGGATACCAGAATAAATCAATAACTGGTCATCTGCCCGGACGATTTAATCATTCCACTGACCACCTGGGCGCACTGCACTCAGGAACTGGCATAAATCGTCGTCCACTAGCCACGCAGCAACCCGTTCCATCTATCAATGCCCACAAAGCACCAAGTTTGGCCGCTTCGCGCACTGATGTGTCACCTGTATCGAACGGTAGCCATGGCATCAACGGTGTGGTGGGAACGAATGCCGCGGCGGGCTCCATATCACCACATCAGAACGGGGCCTCAAAGTGTTCTGTGATGTGATTTATCGCCCGTTCTATTGTGGGCATCAGCCGCGGACTCTGTAGGATCGGGAGACAGAGTGAGATTACACAGGTCGCTCGCCTCTTCAGTCCGCACATTCCATCACCCATATAACGATCACCACCACGATCATCCACCCGAACATACACACCCTAGTCTTTCTTTCCGCGGTTCAAGCGAAGGCCTTCATCTATGTCAACAGTATACGAATATCAGCAAGTGTCACCGCGAACTGTACTACTGCTACTACTACGACAACAACTACTGCTATGACCAGTCTCAGTCCGAAGGACACATGTGAATTGAGTTTTTTGTACATACTTATAACACAAACATTCGCGGCCCTTCAATCCGGATTCTATACTATCTGAATGTCTTTTGGAAACACCTCGATACTCGGTCCCCGGCTGTTCACACGGGATTTCCCTACTAGTTAGTTAACCCGCTCCCCTCCCATCCAACCTATCTATCCCAGTCTGCGCCTTCAAATTCGCATCCTTTTTTCTTCGCTTTGTTCTGTTTTCTTTTGTGATTTGGTTATCAGTTGACCGTGTTTCGTTCGTTCCCGCCGCCATCATTCGTTCTTCTATTGTCTCTGCTCCCCATTTCTCTTACTGTGAGTCATCAAACATACAGATACGTGATCGGATCCTGGTCAAGACATCTTCGACCGTCTGTCCACACAATTATATTAAGCTCTCCATCCTGTGTCATGCATACAATTAGGTATCAGGTTTAACTGTTCCCAATGGTCTGTGGCATTTTGCTGCCCGTCGTTTGTTCCTCTGAAACTGTGTCCGCCACTCTTACCTTTCACTTATCTTCGGTCCGTTCCTCTTGTATATGTGATTTGTCCGTATCCATTTTGGCAGTGCTCTTCCGTTGACGCCAAACTTATCTCATCAGTTTTTCTCTGAGTGGCCCGTTGTATCGCACACGGTCGTTTTATCCATCTATGTTTCATCAGATACGTATGAGGGCTTGCAAACACCTAGTCCGGTTTGGATATGCTCACTTTCGCGCACTCCGGTTCGCGCAACTTGAAATGAACGTGTGAACTGACTGCATTTCGTCCCAATTTGCCCTCCCCCTCACGTTTGTCCCATTCTTCCAACTACGCAATTGGCCGATTTGTAGTGTCACACTTCTCTTCGCCGTACTGGGAAAGCTAACCCATCACTTAATTGCCTGTTCCTTGCGCTGGCACGGATGCGGTCCTTTCTGTCGGCTCCCTCCTCTACTCACCCCAGATCTTGCTCAAACTACCACATTCTTCTTCTCTATCTAACTGTGCGTATGAGCTCCTGTGCTGTTTCGGTACGCAGTCGATTGCGTATCTCCAATCACTAATTGACCAAATGTCTGGTTGCATGGTTGTGATCGATTGATTGAGTAAACAGTCAAATTTTTGGATGTTTGTCGTGCATGTGTGTCTGTCCATCTGTTTCTGATGACAGATCGAATAAAAGCAACCACATACCCATACATAACAGTCATTAATCCATGTTTTTCTACATCCTTTTGTACTTTGGCCCCGGGGATAGAAACATTCCCGAAATGGAACGTTGTGCTTAAAGTTGGTCTGTCGAGTGGCGATAGTTTTTATCCGACGCAATTCGAATACCTCGACCATGAGTACCTTTTATTTTATAGAAGTGAATACAGTTGGACAAGTAACCTCCCTAGTTCAAGAGATGGTGAGGGGAATATTCAAGCTAGGATCAGCTAGTTGGGTCGGTATTTAAAGATAAGGATGTTATAAATTAAAGCGTTCCACAGTTGTGCTGTTCTTGGGAGAAACGATGATTGGCAGGTAAAGTGTGACACTTGGAATGCGTGACTAATCTCTGGTGTACGTAACCTACGAGGAAGAACAAGTTCCGTAGAACAAAAACCAAAAGTTTCGGTAGAATAAGGATAAGGCAACTACTGATCGACGGCGAGCTAGCTACTACAAATTACATGTTAGGGACGATTCGTGGATGAGACGAATGGCATTACGCTGAACTCTTCTAAGGAAAGAGACCATTCGCCGAAGTTCCACCCCGCACATGACTGTATCATTCAAGTGCAGGGCTGATCTGAGCTTTGCGAAGTGAGAGTCGAGATACATCAGGTTGGTAAGGGTCGATCCGCTTATTTTAAGTGGCTATGAAAGAGAGGAAAATAGAAAATATCCCAATAATTTGCATGGCTCTGTAGAACGAAAAGCGTTTGAATCAGGTTTATGCATAAGGTTTTACCAGTGATTGTGATTGCAGAAATAAGACCGAAACCAGAACTTGGAGAGGACGAGTCATTTCTAATGCTGTAGTTTAGGCTGGCGTCGATGTGCAAAGACGTGAATGAATAGGATTGAAATTTTCAGGATGAAGGTCAGTGAATATCAGGAAGTGGGAGGAAATGCACAGGACCTCGGGACACACCTGTATTTAGCGGCACGGAGTGGGGTATAGTCCTGGGGGCTTAGACACAGATGGCGCGGTTATGGAGATGACTTGCAGTTCCGTGGGAGAGCCCCCAAACCTGCGTGCCAGACAGTCGAACTCTTTCGATAGACCCAGCGACCGCATGCGGGTTTCTCCCCGGCTGTCCAGTACTGCCGATCATGTATGCCGAACCCCAGCGCATATGCATTGCGATTTTTGCAGTGACCAGTGACGTTTGCTTCTCTGTATTTCGCTGTACGATGATGATGATGATATGCGGAACAAGCACCAGAGGATTACCGAAAATCAGCTTGTTGCTAATATTGGCACTTGAAGATCTTTTGATCGGTTGGGATGCTGTTGTCTGGGCGGCTTTTACTCAACGCACCATGTTTTTCAAACAACTGTTCAAATGACTGTTCGTAGTGTCACCTGTCGTTCGATCCCCAAAAGCTGATAGCAGAGCAAACGCGGCAGGTGACCTGCAATACCCGTATTCAACTACTCCTAAACTGGGCGCGTCGCAGACTGGTCACACCCTGTGATTCGGTTCTTGACCTAACACGACCATAATAAATTCGCCTAGAAAATGATTGCAAGTATCATTGTGCTCTAGAACGGAAGTGAAACAGAAAATGTCGGCGGTGGTTGGCTTTGGACCCCGAGGTTCGAGACCCACTACCGCCACTCAACTTTGGTGGTAGGCAGCTTTGCTGTCGTCCGGTTCAACACCACACCTAACCAAGCGGGGCCTAGTGTGGTTCGCTACTTCAAGTCCCGGGGTTTAGGTTACTAGTTTCCATCATTGAGCAGTAGGTGCTCGTGACTATGGGGTTTACCCCATCTGCTGTTCATCACACTGAGGTGTCGTAAAAACAGAGCGTTTGTTTTTGTTGCTGATTCAAGGGTTCTGATAAACGGGGGATTGGTGTTTACGTGAAATAGGTACTTCGCCGATTTCCCGTCCGATTCGGTCGACGAGTAATTCAAAATACTGAAACTGTGCCAGATCTGCTACGCATTACTTGGGATGAAAATCCATTTAAAATGTCTGCCAATTTGGCTCCGGCCAGGGATGCCAATCAGGCAACATATTTTAAAATATTAAGCATTCTTTTGTTTGCTTACCGTCGCTGTTTTGAATGGTGAAAAACCGTCGGCTTTGTCGCTTTCGCTTCTAGTGCTCCTTGTCTCACCGTGAATAAGTCCCGACTTTCGCTGAGTTCATGTCAGAGGCATCTATAATTTCATGCTATTCGTCCAAGGATCTTCTGTGTTTATTCTTCTCCTCAACATGGTAGAACCTGCAAAGAACAGCATCCGAGTGTCCGTTGACCCTCGTACATTAACTGCAAAGGTTCTATCCACAATAGCACTTAATGAAAGAGTCCCTCCGTTGAAAGGCGCTACCATCTCTCGTGTGGAGCACCAATGTTATCCATAAGATTGGGGCGGCATAAAACAAAGAGGATGAAGCTCGATAAAGGCATAAGCCACCGTTGGACTGCTTCTAACTTGATTCTACATTATGTGGGAAAGACAGAAAAACCGTTCAAGAAAAGATGACAACCGATCGGAATCCGCAGAGCAAAGAAAAGAAAGAGAAAAAAAGAAAGCCCGAAACGAATGACCAAAGCGAGACATCACGCCTGTGGTAAATGGGGTGGTTGAACTTGTCGATCAAGAACATGGGGAGTTGTTTAGACGAACACCCGTGAGGCTGCCTGCTAGAGGGAGTTGGGGCGCGTTAGAGACCCCACTGCTGTAGGCGCACTTGTGTTACCTGTCGAAGCGATTGTGGTAAGAGTAAATTGTACCATTTCCGTTTTCGCTAGTTTCTCTGTGCAGCGTGTGGGGTGGGTAGTAAAGAAAGTCATCCTGGCTTTGGTGCGGGAGTGTTGATTCTTCTCAGAATCATTTGTGTTCTTTCGACTCACTGCTTACTCTTTCGCTTCCTATTTGTCCCGTTAACATTCGTTTCGTTCTGGTTATCGATTTCTTACATAATCAAACGAGTGCGCAGTTCTCCCAGTCTCTGACATCTCAATGGACACGCAGACACACGCACACCGATCACTATAGTACCATAGTATCATAGTATGACTCCAACCACACGAGTTCTCTTGTGACCTCCATTGTCCCTTACTATTGGTTGACCTATGTTCCGTCTACCCTTGTTCTGCACCGGTTCATCACTTAACATTTATCGATTATTTAAACGCCTACGCACGTGATCTGCTTTCATGGCTCCTCGGGAGTCACCTGTTCATGTACACACACACATGCATGCACGCACACCTGTCGTTGTTTGTTAAGAGGTCGAATTGTGTGCGCCCAACACTCTTATGATTGGCTCATCTTTTGGGAGTTTCATGTCACCGCCCGACTGAACTTATTTTGTTTGACTTCGTATACTTTGATCATATTCTCTTTTTGACAGAGCAGTGAGCTGTCCCCTTTTGAAGCACCTTAATTGTAAGGTGTATTTCGACACAGTCTAGCGTTGTCATATTCCTATTTGATACACTTATATCTGGAAGTGCCTTGACGACTGTCCTAACCCAGATACCT